CGGCCAGTTCCACACCCAGCCTTCAGCTGGGTCTGCTTGCGATCATCGTCGCGCGGAGCCGCCGACCAGGTCAATTACTCCACAACGGCTCCATCGATGACTCTTCAGTCATGCAGCTGTATCAGAATTACAACGAAAACAACCTCCGTTATCCTAGTTGGATGTGAAAGCAGACGCGTGTTCCATGAGAGGCGGTGATGCCAGAACGTGGAGGTCAATGTTGTTCAGTGTTTTTCTGGCAAAAGAAAAKCCCATCATATGGAAGCCGGTGCCTGGGGAATCTACATGGAGCGGCGAGATGAGCTCCGTGCGTGGCTGGAGATAATGGTGCTTGGGGAGGTGATGGAGCCAGGGAATATTGGAGAGCGGCTTTGTGCGGCTGCCAGCAATCCCCCCAAAACCACGGCCACCCTTTGGAATGAAGTCATGGAAAGCAACGTAACCGCTTARCCGGAGGGTCATCCGGCCTCCGGAGCGCTTGAAGGTGAGATGGACCACACGTCTGAGGCCATAGGATAAGTAGATATTATTATTCTCATGCCTCTGTGGACACGGGGRGCTTGTGATACTGCCTGGCGCTCCCCGGTTGGCTCACGGGGTTGCCAGGTGGTCTTGATATTGCAGCAAAAGGGCTCTCGGCTCTTCTGTCCTGGAGGACACGGTGCTCAGTGTCATCAGCGGCGCGTGGGCCGTCCTTGCAGAAACGGACCTTTGGTTCGGACCGTGCAGAGCATCCCTGGATATAGGCAGAGGATATAGGCAGCGAGTTGGTAAATGCGAAGGGGGAGAAAGTGGAGCTTCAAACTTGGCCTGCAATTCCAAAAAAAAAAAAAAAGAGAGAGAAAGTTGATTCATGAAACTATGGAAAACACCACTGATAGTATCTTTTTCAGGGCTCTTTCCAACCTCCCACGTTAAAAGATGAGCTCAAAGTACCAAGTTTTGGCTCTGGGTTTCCAGTTTCTGCAGACTTCTGGGACTCTCAACAGCAAAGGTTGCAGGCTTGAAATTATCTTACGGCATCTATTACCYAGAGGCTAATGTGGGATGAGTGATGGAACCGCCAACAGCAGGAGGGACCTGGGAGCTGCCGGAGATGATCCTAGACCAGCATGGCAAGCCAGAGACTATCCCAGTCTCCTGGAGAAAGGCGAAGCCCCATTGCCCAGGTGGCAGCGGGAGCCTCAGGTTTTGATGAGGTTCGCGCTTTGCTCCGCAGAAATCTGCAGCTTCTCATCGTCACTCGCAAGAACTGGATCCGCTCTGAAGTGAAACAATACATGGAAAATGGAATATTTTGCTTATTAAAGTATCTTGGAGTTCCAGCTTGGAGGTTGGCAACCAAACCTCGGAGAGGCTAAGGAGCTGGAGAGTGCAGCGCTCCCCCCTTCCAAAAGAAACCTCAGTGTGTGCCAGTACTTTTATTTATAATGTTAAAAAAAAGTTGAGTACATTAAAAGGTATTATTGAGGGAGCAGGACTTAAAATATATCATTTTTATGTTATTAGGCTGTTCTAAGTGAGGTGTCCTACTGCAGGCAGATCATCTGTCCCTCTGCCTAGATTCCACGCTGGAACTTACTGGAAGCTCCTCACCGCAAGAATCCCACTGAACTGATTATTTTCAGGCAAAGGAAAGGGAGACTGAGGAAAATAATATCGGAATACACGACCTCAAACCACGGTGGAGAAATTTCCTGACCGAAACTTGATGTCTTGTGGCCACCTGATGGCTTCTGCTTGTGCTCGGCGGGGTGCTGGGCTGGCTGGAGGGGCTGCCCCCTTTCCCACATTCCTGCTTTTCCTGGAGCAGCAGAGAAAGCTGGGGAAATCCTGAAGGAATCTAGCCATTTTGAAAGCATCAAGCGGTTGCACTGACCTTTGCTAGCTGTTCCATCCTTCCCGTGGTCTGAGCGGTGACAGAAGGAAGCGCTGAGGTCTGGGAAAGGACTTAGGGCTCCTAAAGGTGTTGCAATTAAAGCCAGGACAGGGAGCCAGATATCCCGGGGAGGAGGCGAGCGGGAAGCTCTCCTTACCACATCCTGTCCGTAGGAGCCCTGCGCTTCAAGCTTGACGAATGCTTCGTGTCAGAGCGAGGGCTCCGGCTCCAGCTGAATTCCCCAYGGCCAGGGATTTCCGAGGGCTGGTTTCTCACAGCGGCGCGTGCCAGTGCTTGCCGAGTGCGCCGGGGTGCCCAGCCCCGCAGCTGCGCTCGCTTGTGCCTTGGGCTCCCGTCGTAGACATCGAGGTGTTTGGGTTAGGCGGATGACCCAGGGCGAGGACTTTTTGCAGGCGTGAAACCGAGCCGTGATTCCATCACCATGAGATTAGCTAAGGTGCAAACTCCACGTGTGTGGGTGGCACGTGCATGTGCAGCCGGAGCGCGCTCGTGCCGTGGCACCCGGGAGGCGAAGGAGCGAGCTGGGTCGCTCCTCTTGGAAAGGTGGCGCAGCCCTGCGCCACGTGCGTGGGCGGAGGAAGGAGCAAACGATCCTCTCGGGTCGGAAGGGAGCGCAGGAGACTATGGAGAGATTAGTCCTAGTGCATTTGTCCACGCACGTGCGCTCATGTCTCCGGGAGGGTGGAGAGGTTTGGACGGCGCTGCCGACCCAGCTACCTCGCAAACTGGCAGGAGCAGAGCAAAAACGTCTCGGGAGAGAACTTAAATTACACTGGAGTTGATCGGGACGGAGCTAGCGGCATCCAAATGGGAGCTGTGAAACTCTACGGAGATGAGCAAAACAGGATGTGAACATTTGAGAAGTTCCTGGACGTCACACCTGGACACCCTGGGGTGATTAGAAATTGGGCTTCACTTGCCTGAGTCTTTGGGAGGAGGGTTGGGGAGAGGGGGAGGAGAAGTGATGGAGGTAGCAAGCTAAGCTAGGGGTCTGGAGAAACGGTTCTGGTTTTGATCTACTTCTTGCATGGCCTTGTCCAACTTTCTCCAGACTTTCCACATATCTGAATCCCTCCTGAGCTAAGAATAAGCTCAAATGGGTTTTGGCCAAAAAGGGCTTTTCATCTGAATGTTGGAGTCTTCAAAAGAAAAGCGCCTTTCATCTTGGCTTGCTTTCCAGTGAGACCCTTTCAGATGTCGGGGAAGTCTCTCAGTACTGCACCAGCCAGGTACTGGAGGGGAAAAAAGACTTGGGAGATGGAGCGCAGGAACTTCCTATGAGGGCTCTGTGCATGTGCTCTGGTTTATTGATGCATTATTTAATTCTGTCGCAGAAGTGCTTGGAGGCCACGGCCAAGCTGCGTCCGTGATCCCGATCCCGGGGGATGCGAGTGCAAAGTGCAAACTAGGTAAAGGAGAGCCACCATGTGGGAAGGAGAAGGGATGCAAGTGCAGGCGAGGCGAGCGGGCAGCATCGCAAAAGCAAGCCCAGAAGAGCTCCGGGGATCCAGCGCCCCATCTCTTGAGGTCCTCCTTCTCCTGGCTTTGATGTCCTGCAGCTGATGCAGCTGCAGACAGGATGCATCCTTAAGGCTAGTCTCCACTTATTCCTGTTTGGCATCTGTGGTTTCCAGTCTCAGATGTTCCTGACACCCAACAAATGTTTCCGTCTTGGAGAATTGCCTCTGTCTTGGAGAATTCTGTCTTGGGGTTGGACTAGATGATCTCTAGAGGTCCCTTCCAACCTTGACAATTCTGTGATTCTGTGAATATCAAAACAAAGCATTGCTGGCAATGCTCTGAAGTTCTAAGTGAAGTAGAAAGTGGTGGTTTGCAGCTGGAAATGAACGACATGGGAAGAATTTCAGACCACTTATGTATGCAGAGGTCAAGGAAGTCACAAACATGGACTGAAAAGTGAGGGGCATCTATGCATTAAAATCCATTTGCCTTCAAAGGGCCTGTGTCCCTGCAGAAAGGATTCTTTGAGCCTTTTTAATGCCCAACCACATCACACCTCCCTTTGATGCTTCCAGTTGCTGCCTACAGCAGCCAAGAGCTATGAAAAGGATGCTCAAGACAGAGGCAAAACCACTGGCTGCGAATGACTTCTTGGGTGTGCCAGACGTTGAGCAGACAGGAGGAAATGGTTTGAGTCGCTGGCAGAGGAGCCGTGCCAGGGCTGGGTCTGCAGGACATGTGTCCTACGAGAAGCCACCAGCGAGTCACAGGAGGGAGCTCGGTGCCGGCTCAAGCGGAAGGCGTAGGGGGGAAGGCAGCCCCTTGGGCATCCTCTCTGTGCTTGGCAGCCTCGGATGGGGCTGGAAGCAAGCCACAAGTGGGTATCGCTGCTGGGGTCAGTTGGGACGTGCTGTTCTCAGAAGCTTGTGGAGCTGCTAGAAACAGGACGGTGACCTTCCCAGGGAGGCTGTGGTTGTGTCCAATAGCTTGTCCTGTGCATCTCTCAAATAGGAGCACTGTCCTTAGGCTTGGCCGTGGCTGCTCCTGCTTTGCAGAGCTGGCAGGCTCAGCTCTGATACCCGTGCAGAGCTTTCCTGGTGCTCTCCAAGCTCCTTACGTGGCCGGCAGCCCRGGGCCTGTTCACCCATTCCTGCCATGCAGGAGGGCACAAGGCTGAGCTCATGGGTCCCTGCTCCCGGGCAGTGCTTTGGGAAGGCGGGAGAGYCCAGGAGATCTGCTGGGATGGAGATTCCCCAGGGCACTTGTCACCTTCTGCCCCACAGMGCAGCTTGTGCTGTGGCCAGAGCCCTGGCTTCAGTTATTTCCTGTAAAATATYTGAATTTTTTTTTTCCCCTAACCATTAAGACTAAAAACTCCCTTTGAGATACGGAAATCCTCGCGTGCCTCCTGCCCCTGACATCATCAGCATCAACAGCATCCCCACGACCCGGCTTACCGTCCACGGCCACGCCGGCCAGCGGAGACCTGGCCCACCGTCCTGCAGCTGTGCTGGTGGATCCCTGCACAGGCTGACAGGGACCAGGGCTGCCTTTCGGGGAGGCAGGCCAGCACATGTGCATCTTGCTCATTCTCTTAAWATTTTTGTGAACAAACTTAATTTTTCATGTTATTTCCCAGCCTCCAGCAGCACTGAGCAACCAAGCTGCATGGGGACAGCTCCCGTCCCCCAGAGCCATGGTGTGTGGACTGCAAGTCACAGGACTGGCTGCAGCAGAAACATCTCATCGTTAGCACCCGGTGTGGAAGGGCCGAGATGGTTTTGAGTGGGATTGAGGCTTTTTTCCAGCTGCTTCTCTGAGCCACTGCGTTGGAAGCCTCCAAAGCTGCAACCYGTTGGTGTCCCACCATAAGTGGCCTGAAGTTGCTTTGGGCTTTGCTGACATCTGCTTTGGAAAGGAGGGTTGTGGAGCTCGTCCTGCTGCAGCTCCGGGTGGCTCTATGGGAAGGCTGCACCATGGGCAGGGACCAGGTGTGAGCTCGGCTTTGCTGCATCCTCTCTGGTTGGCCTTGAGCAAATAGTTAAACAAGGAAAGACTAAAGGAAAATAAATTTGCCTTCTCTGTTGCTATTTTTATTTCGCTTTCACTGTGTGGTCTGCTCACTCCAAAATTACAGTGTTTTCTTTTCCTCTTACCCTGGTTTAGGGGAAAGGTTTAAGCTTCCCCCCTGCTCCTTCACATTGGCGCAGCTCATCAGCGGGAAAAATGAGGAGCTTGCTGAGGAATACTGTGCTCCCTCCTCGTTTCCTGCCAACTGGCATCTCCGCACCATCCCTGCTGCTGCATTCCTTAGGGATACAGCGAGATTTCTCCTGCTCTTTGAGGTTTGCTGCTATTTGCTTGGATTTCCRTGCGATCCCCTGCTCAAGCACGCGCGCGGGTTTCCTTGGGAGAAGCAGGCGCTGAGCTGCACTGTCTCTGCTTCTGCTTTCTTGCTCTGGCCCGTGTTTGCTTGGCAAGGCCGGGCTCTGCTTTGGGTTAGTCGCAATCCTCTCAGATAAGGTTCGGCCTGTTTTGTCTCCAGTTCGTAGCAAACAAAGCTGTTTCCRTATTTATTTGCATTCCGCGTATTTATGGAGCCTAACCAAGAGCTGCAGGGTGGCAGTTGGATTTTCCCCTCTGAGTTCCCCCATCCAGCTGTTGTTGGTTGTTCCGTCCCTGGTAGCCCAGATGTGCAAAGAGAGGACGGATGCTCCAGCGGCCTCCAGAGAGCTGGATACCCRTGTCCCGTTTGCCCAAACGTTCTCCAGGGTGGATTCCTGCAGCCACCCGGCAACCTGGGAGCCACAGATGGCTCTGGAGGGTGCCAGCGTTGGTGGTCCCATCAGGAGGTGAGCACCTGCCCAAAACACTGACCCAAGGCTCTCCAGCTCCTTCCKCGTAAGCCATCCATCGAAACGTAGCCTCATTGGGCTGCCTTGATGTGGGCTGGGTTGGAACAGGCGATTAGCTCCGTAGACCATTACCAGAGGCTGGAAAAAACCCCAAATCTTTCTCTGGTGAGTCACTGTGCAGAGGAGAGCAGCGCTGAGCTGGGGCTCGCGCCGTTTCGATGCTTGCAGGTCGTTTTTAATGCCGCGGTGCTTGTTTCCCCAAGCCAACGTGAGCAGAGTTCCAAGGGATGCGTAGCCCAGGTTCCAGGAAATCCAACGCGAGCCACGAGGGCTGTACGGGAGACGACCACAAAGGCTTTGGCATCTCATTCCAGCCTCTCCATCTGCCCAGAGCGGCTGCAACTGGGGAACAGAAGGCGGGGAAGGAAACACGCTTCCCTGGGGGAAGTCACTTCTCCAATTCAGAGCATGTTCGAGCATGAATCCAGCTCTGGGAGCACAAATTCCATGGAATGGGCAGTCGGGAAGTCTTGAGGTTTCGTTGGGATTTTGCCTTTGGCTTTGAGCTCCTTTTGGCTTAGGCTTCGTGCCTGGACAAGACTGGTTTGATCGTGCGGTGCCACTTTGCAGAAGTTGTGAGCACTACTAGTCATTTCCTGAACGCATAAAGATTTTTAAGAGTACTTTGCAATTAAATGCGCTCTTAGCTCCTTTGCCTGCTTCAACCTATCTGTGATAGATAGCTACTCTGGGCTTTCCCCTGCAAGCAGTGATGCACATTCAATATGTCCAACTGATGGAAAGCAGGAGGTGGAATGACATCATCCCACCCCGCTTTCCCGCGGCAGAAACTTAATCTGATTTTACACGAGAAAAACTTCCCTTTTTCCCCCGTCTCCAGCCCCGTTTGTGCAGAATCGATGCCCTTTTTCAGCATGGGGAAAAACAAGAAATCAGGTTGGAAAGTGAGACAGGATGTAGGTGTCTGTCGCTCTTGAGCTGTTTTTCCCTCTGAGTTCAGCCGCGTCCTYTCCTAATTGCATCCTTGTTCCTCTGCATCTTTAGTTAGAAGCAGACCATTTCCAAATCATATTTGTCATTTCTAGCARAGCTGATTGCATCCTCTGAGCATTTAAAATAAAAAAGCCAGAGATCCTTGCAAAGAAGCTGCTAGGTGGATTCTTTGTTCTCCTGAGCCCATGAGCCAGACATTCTGGCGTGTTGGCTCGGACCAGGACAATAACTGCAAATAGCTAAAAAACAGAGTTGCTATCCCTGGAAAGTTGCTGTATCTTATGATATAGGGGTCCTATCTGGGTAACTGTGCACATGGGGGAACGTACGTGGAACACGGTGTGTCCAAAATGTGGTTTAGAAACGAGCAACTTAAAACTTTGATAATGTCTAGAGGATGTAGGGAATTCAAATACCAAACTTTGACTATAAAGTGCACAGCAAGTTACTAATAGCTATGTGAGTTAAAATAAAAGGCAAAAAAAAAAAAAAAAAAAAAGTGCAGCCGACCACTTCCAGCTGCTGTGAATGTTTTTCCATTGAACTTTTTAACTTATATTGACACATTCCCACAGCAAACAAAAACCTCACAACTTAATTTTTCAATGGTAATTTTCCCTATTTAAAGCTCCTAGTTGGCTTCCGCCAAGGCTGCCCATAAACCCTTCCAGTAACGTGTTGCTGAGCCTGATATATGGCTGAGGGAAACTTCTCCCTTGTCGCTGGACATTCATTTCCTCAGCCTTATTTCTTCTTTTTCATCCCGCCTGTGACTTTGATGCCGTTGCTTGTGTGTTGTGGCTTGCTTTGTTTGTTTGTTTTGATCCCACGGGCTCCCGTCATCCCGTTTTAAGCYGAGCTGAGTGAATTTGGAAGCTGGCTCGTGTTTTGTCTTAGCAAGCTCCCCACCAAGAGCAGTTTCCATCACGGATGGAAGATCTGGTTTCTTCTCCTATAGCCTCTTGAACATTTGCCAGCACAAGCACCTCGCCATTCGGCCCCTGCTATTTGCAGCCTGCAAGGTGGTAAGAATATCTTTTTCTTGCCGATTTTCCCAAGATCTCTTTTCTCCTCTGCAGTGAGCTGCCCGAGCGGCAGCAAGGCTATAAAACGTCTGCTTCCCTAACGCAACGACAGGCTTCCCTGGCTTGTAACAGGACCTTTTCATGCACTCGGGCAAATTTAGAACGCTTGTGGCCGCCGTGGTTTGGGGGTTTTGCTAGCCCGCAAGACACTCGGGCCGTTGTTTGGAGGTAGAAAGGGGGCTCGTGCTGAGTTGGGCTCCGCTTCCCGGCGCCTCCGCTTCGTTCTTTGCACAGGCAGGGCTCTGTCTTTGCCCGTGGCTTCTTGAAAAGCATCCTAGCGCCGGCCCTTCCGCGGCCGCAGCCGWGGGCAGCGGCGTTAGCGGCTTGCAGGCAGCTTCTGCGAGCGCTTCTTCAGCAAATGCCCACTTCTCGAGCAGATCCACGAGACGGCGGGTAGGTARGAGCGAGCGCTCGTGCCGCACACCTCCAGCGCGGTGCTGCTCTTTGCTCATGTGCCCTCGTGAAGTTTAAATGCGAATGTTGACACGTGTGCTCCTTTATATTGACATTTCTGCTGTGCCACGCGTGTCACAGCAGCACCTCGGATGCACTTCCACGTGGCAATTCCTGCTTTTTGCTTGCAAACGGGTTTTGGGCGGTGGGAATGCAAACATGCACCCAGGATGCTGGATATTTTCCCCAAAATACCGCAGACTTGCCAAGGACCAAAAACCTGGGTGCAAACTGGCGGCCTCATTGCAAACACCCTCAGGGCAAGGCGATGCCTGCGTCCAACTCCCTGCAGCACAGGGAGCCTCTTCTTGCTTCCAGACCCGTTAATGCTCCACGGAAAAAGCTCTTTCTTGCAATATTTTCTAATTTCCTGCATTCCCAGAGAGGGGTAGAAGTTTACAAGCTCAAAGTAAATGGGTTTTCTAACCTCAGAAAAATGTCTGTCTGCAGTTGAAATATAGGCGATAAAAGATCTTTCAGGGCGTGGGCCATTTCTTATTTTCCTGAACTACGCTGCTCATCTTAGCAAGCTGTGTCCAAACAAAGATTTGTAGTTTTGAGCAATAAAAGCGCATATCTCGAGAAGAACCAAGCAGAGAGATGGGGTGCTGCTATTTCCATCCAGCTAATAGGTTTGTGCTGCCTTCCCAAGTGCTTTTGCAGAATTATCAGCCCAGCAGATGTTGTGAATCGCTCGGAGTTCRAACAAATGAAACTTTGCACTGCGTATTTTTTAATAAAGCTGTCTGCTTTCCTGGCAGGTCAGGGCGCGACTCGTGAGCGTGCAAATGGGCTTTGCCAAGTCACCAAGATCACAGACAGAAAGGCCCTCCAGGAAAGATGTGACAGTCCAAAACTTGGCGTTTTGGTCACGGGAGCGACTCTCTGGTAGCTCTGGCCCTCACAGAGGTTGGTGGTGGTGGCTTTTCAGCAATGGTTATTGATGGTTGGTTATTATTGGTTATATTGATATAATTGATTCTTATTGATGGTTATCTAGGTGCAGATCTTAGCAGCACGGACGTAGTTAGGCACCAGAGCGCGGGGAAGGAGCAGGGGAGCAGTTATGGGGARCTGGGCTTGCAGCTCCATGCAGCACGAGCCCCATTTGCAGGGCTCTCGTGGTCACTTTGGCAGGTTCAGCCCCAGCTTTTTCCCTTCCTGATGAGACCATCCTGCATTTTCCACTCATCTTAGACAGCAAAAACATAGGACGAGAAGGGAGAGTTTGAGTTGTCCCTTTAAACTGCCCCTTTTTAATTCTCCTTCCCTTCTCCACCCCAACCACGTTTCCTCCACTTTGCTGCCCTCTTCATTTTCATCCACAGCTCGAGCAACCAGCTGGCTCGACCTAAATACAATTTATTTGAAGCCTTTGCTCTTAGCTATTTTTTATTTCATGCATAGACCTTTTAGAAATAGATTGTGAGGYTGTTCATACGGAAGGGAAGAGTTAAGAAAAATAATCTGCCCTTCTTGAACTTGGTTTAATCATACGGCGAATGAAGCTTATTCCACGAATTATTTCTTTTCATGTCTATACTGAAATATGCAGGCGAAATACGAACTTGGGAACTCAATTGTGTGAGCRTTATTGGAAATCTTGCATAACCAAAATATACTAGATACTTTGGTATCCGGTAACACGGTATGTGATTATCAATCACTG